TGCATAGTTCTAGCACCCACATCACAAAAGAAAATTCTAGCTCGGGACCGCTGAGTGTGGGATGCTTAATTTACAATCTGATTTCAGTAGAAAAAAGATCACGCACGCACGCACGGTCATGCAGCCCCAACTTAGGATTCCCTGTGTTATGGGCACCAGAAACTGACAAACATAATAACACGTAACAAACGTAATAACATAATTACGTACATACGTTTAATATATATATAATATAATTAATAAACACTCTAACTATATACCTAAACAATAATAAACACCCAGACCAAGAACAAATAAACCTGTTCATCACACAATGTTTGCCACATAAAGGAATTGAACCCACACGACCCTCGGCGCAACAGTCTGAGGCGTTAAATACAGCACCATCGCATGAGTCAGTTATGTACTTAATATCAACTATTTTCAGAACTGTGACCCCTCTCCCCCGAGAGTAGTCCAAGGACAACAATTCAATAGAGGGTAGTCAGTAGTCAATAGTCAGCCAAATTCTATATTTCTAATCTATATAGAACGATCGACACGCAGCCAACTGAGGTCAACCACGCACACCCATTATTTAATCTATGGCCCAACACCCGCGTCTACGATCACCAATATTCTGAAGCCTTGAAAAAACTTTTACCAATTATATACATATCCAAATCATGACTATAAAATATTTTTATTGTGAATTACACAAAATAGCCACTGCATTTTTTCGAGTGTCATTAACAAAAAAAACTGACTCTAGAAGGTGTCATAGCCCTCCAAGTACTATTACTTAGCTTGTTATTTTGTGCTTAGATGGGTGGAAGAGCTCACGGCCCACGGAGAGGGGATTGCCCCGAGGCCCGATCCGTGCCTCCGTAAGGGGTCACGAAGACCCAACGACACGGCCCACCGGTGTTATGTAGTTACCGAAGCCCATAGACATCAAAAACAAAAAAGCCGACGCCCATCTTGAAACATGAGTTCTACGTCTCAGTTTTTACAGTACAACGGCTATATCAATCTTAAAACCGAAACGCATTACCGTTTCACGGCAGAAACAGGTAATGTTGTGGTACCTATCCGTGCGGGCTCACAAAACTACCACCAGTGATACACAAATTACAATTTTTGCTGGTTGGATTTTTATTACACGACGTTATTTCTTCAATGTCGAAGTCAATCTTAAACATTTATTAAGTACGTACATATTTTATTAGATACGTAAGTATCTTAAGGAAGCGTCTGAACGCTACTTTGAAAAAGCGGCCCGACACGATAGTCGATAACCCTCGTATCGTTTCCACCGCTAACTACACATATCTGACCCAGGCGACGAGGCAAAGCATAGCCGCCGTCCCCCAAAACATGTATTGTCGAATGCCCCGATTCTACTCTCGGTGGTTTTAGGCTCTTCAAGCACCGATCAACTTCCTCGTCGAACTCTTCAACTACTAAAGAGTTCGACGTGAAAAACTAATCCATAGACACAACCCACTGAGTTTCTCGCCGGATCTTCTCAGTTGATCGCGATTCCAATCCAGTAGTAGATTCACAGAAGCACTGCTCTTGCTAGAGTAGTAATTCTCTCAGGTTGTGCCCGTGAACTCACCGACCGGTGTGCGCGTTGTAATAGCCCCTTAGGCTACCAACGATTAGGTAGGAAAAAAAGTTGCATCGCACAGTACGAAATCACCAGGCGGATCTAAATACATAAAAATGCGATTGGGGCTAGCCACCTTGAGATATGAGGTCGAAGTCTCAATGAAATTAAACTACCGCACACCAAATCTACTTTTCAAATTTCTGATATAACAACGTACGCAGTATGAAATGAAGATGATTAATTTGAGACATTAATCAACTGGGATGAAATTAAATGAAATGAGATGAGAGGATATGGGATGAAATGTAATCTCAGTAAAATGGTGGTCATTTACTGAAATTTTTTCAGTGGACTTTTTGGAGGATGCCGAGAAGCTACGTCCAGCGGCTTTGTTTCATTTTCCCACATTTGTGCACCTTCACAGATATTAAACAGTTAATAAACCACCGTTATTATACATTTAAGAACAAGAAACACTAAAAATACAAAATAAAACAAATCGCACAACTTCACTCCTCGTGCTCCCGCCAAAAGGTCCTTTGGCGGGCTTTTTATCTTTCTACCACAGACTATAACAATGTGTGTAGTCCAATGATGATGGCTGTACGTTTGTTTTTTTTTGAAGGAAAATACATTAACTAGCAGGTACGGGGCTCACTGAATTTGGCCTCCCTTTTTTTATTTTCATTTTTTTTATTTTTTATTATAATATAATATATTAATGAGCGATTTAGTGGGCAACTTCATTTCTGTTAATTTTGTGTCACGGTGCGTGCGCATCGTAAAATTTCACTCTCATCAATTTTTCATAACGCGAAGTATAACTTCAAAAAACCTGAGTATGTGTCACCTAGAACTCAATTGCAGCCTCACTAAGTTTTTGATGTTTTAGAACGACAATGAGTCATTTAATTGTCATTTTTTAATGAGCAAAAAAATGTTATGTTCTTGTGTTATCTAGCAATACAATTGATTCTGAATAAAAAAAACTAAACCTTGTAATATTTACATCAATCAAGATACTTCTCGATAATAATAATTAAGTTAATATAGACGTAAATAATTTTTTTTTAAAATAAAATCCTGTTTATAGTGTATATAATATTTATATATACTGAGTTTATTCATCCATATTAAATGAATTTCTACTAAATGTTGCTGCAATATATTTCTTGAACTTATAAATAATTATCATTTCAACAAAAACAAATTTTGTGTGCATTACATTTACTTATTTTGAACTGCGTAACGAATTTAGGAATTATTAATTTTATTATAAAATACAAGTATCATAACTATCTCCTATTGCATGGTAAAGATTAGTATCATTTTAACACGAAAGTTGTACTCCTAAATATTCATAGATTAATTATAAATCACTGAAATTTCTATAAGCTTGTTAATGTTCAATATCATTAAAAATAACTGAATTTATTAAAACCGCGCAAATGTACTTTAACGACTAATTGGCCGTCTTCACTGATATTTTTTTGTTGAAGTTTTCGATATTTTTTTTATCTACATAAGAAATAATTAGACAGTATAAACGCACTTGTTAACAAAATGCTAGTAAATACGGCCATTGCCAGCTGACTGACAAAACCGGCGCATGCGCAATGTAGACGATAAGTGATGGTTTGCTGATTAGATATAAAATAATTAATAATTGGGAATTTAATTGTTTTTATGTTCGAACAATCACCACTAGTCGTCGAACAAACTATAATTGATCAAAATTAATTAGTCTGAGCGATAAAAATAAAGATATCTAGTAAGAGAGACCAACTTAATGGTGATCATTTGTTTAATTAATTATAAATAAATAAAAGACAGACCAACAATTTTTACATTGGAACATTAACGAGCAAACGACGAACAAATAATTAAAAATATAAAAATCCGAAAATCAAAGAAAGCGGGGCCAAATCCAGTAAGCCGAAATAAATAATTTTATTCAGCCATCATGGAGTTTTTTTTTTTTAAATGAATCAATAAAGAGCACTATAGATTATACACGTACCATAGAGTATTAAAGAAGGGTTAATACCGATATTTGTCAAAAATTAGCTAATACGAATATATTCATGATGCAATATTATATTACCTTAACTAATACGTGAATATATCCTGATATCTTAATATACTTCGATAAAACGGGTAAACGAGTTAAACCTAGTACGGTTTCGTGAAATAAGTTAATAATCATACACATAAATTAGTTATTAAATTAATATAAATAGAATATTGTATCTAGGAATTTGACTTCATACTAACTATTTTACAAGTAATATTATGTACATTAATATGAATATTATTATTAAATCAGAATTTGGTCAACATTGTACATTAATATAAACAACAAGTAGTAATATTATTTCTTATTGGTGCATAAAAACATCAGCTTTTTTTACTTTTTCTACCGAAAGACTGGTACATCGGTCAGAAATGAATATTACAGATTTCGAAAAAATCCTCTGACATGGTACTGAGGTGGCTAGTAGGTACACAACAGTTATAATATTATAATCCATGAACCGTTTGATTAGAAAGTCATTTCGATTCAAAAATCAAACTTTTATTTGTATTTTGAGAAGTTCTTAGAAGATAATTAAATACCACCGCAAAAATATATTGTCATCATAATTTATTACGTAAAAACACTTAATTTAGTTGTGGCAGTATTACATTTTGTGTAAAAATATTTTAATTTATGAAATTGGTAAACAATGTCAACTACCTACCTACTTTCGTTTTTCAAAACATCGTTTTAAAACCAACTAGTTCGAAGGAAACAGAAAATAAAATTAAAATAATGACAATAAAGCTCACCGATTTTATTCCAATAAATGTGAAAATGCACTATTTTGTCTTGAGTAGTAGAATCAAGAAATGAAGGTTCAAACATAAAAAAGTAATGCTTTTGAAAATTTCCACTAACATCTTTGGCATGTAAAAAGTGCAATACAAAATAGTCCTTAAACTCATAGCTAAATGTACTTATTTTCATTGCTCAGTATATAAACATGTAGATTATCTCACTTACTCTTAGCGCATGCACTATTGATATGAATGTGATAGACAGATATCCGCGAGACACGTACGGCGTATGCCAGTATATTTTTGTGTGATAGATACTTCGCTAGAAGTAAGTGTTTTGTCTATATCTATACTAATATTATAAAGAGGAAAGATTTGTTTTTTTGTTTGTTTCGAATAGGCTCCGAAACTACTGGACCGATTTGAAAAATTATTTTGCCATTAGAAGCCGACATTGTCCCTGATGAACATAGGCTACTTTTTTTTATTTATTTTTTTATTATTATTTTTTGGTTTCATGTGTGTTTTAATGTTTCCGAAGCGAAGCGAGGGCGGGTCGCTAGTGGATAGATACAACCCGACCGATGTGAGTTGACTATTATTATGAATAAGTGAATACGGAATATTAGCATAGGTATCAGAATTCGACGGATTACCGATACACGAATACAAGCTGTATTACGAATATCTTAGTGAATACTAATATATCGGTATCACCCTTATAGAGTATTGTTACAAACTATTCTTAACAAATATTCCAACAATTTAATGGTCTGATTACTAATTTAATTAATTTCTTATTTAATAGTGTGTAATTTATGAATCTGTGAAAGTGTGAACCTGTGAGTAACAATTTGAAACTACTTTTATATTGGTAGGTAGTAGGTACCTAGGTAGTTTTAAGATTTTGAAAAAAATACCTGCTAAAACACGTATATAAATTAATTTGTCAGTTAATCCAGTAATTTAAATAAACGTTTAACATTGTTACGATTCTCTCCATTTCATTAAATGTGCGCACCGCAAATAATACGATATTCTCTTACGTTTTAGTGGTGGTTCTCCATCTACACTGCTTTCGTGGTCTTCGAATGTTATATACTGCTGCATATTAATTTGACTAATCTGAATTCGAAATGGTGAATTTATTAGCAACATTGATATTAGCCTCAGAAAAAGCTGCTCGGATCGCTAGGTCATGTGTGAGCAATACACAAAAAGACGCATTATTGGTTGCTGAAAAAGATATTTCTGAATCCAATATTCGTTTTAATAAGGATTACAAGACCGTTGCAGATGTTCTAGTACAAGAAACAATAAAAGCAAATATTGAGAAGGCTTTCCCAGAACTAAAAAACCAGGTTAGAGGTGAAGAAAGTTCAGAGATTAATGGACAAGTGATTGTTTTGAAAAACTTTGATCACACTGTTGAACTATTAAGTCAACTAATACCACCGTCTGCAGCGAAAATAATGGCAGCTGCAGCATACAGCAAAAATATTGTCACTTGTAAAGATTTACCTCAAGATTTACCAGACTTACCATTGTCAGATATAGGGATATGGATTGATCCAATTGGTAATAGATTTTCTTATCCTAATGTTAATAAGTGATGCTTTTGCAAGTGAAAGATTTTTTTTTTAAATCATCATAGACTAAATAGATTTTTTTTTGTTTCGATTGGTGAACGAGCTGACAGCCCACCTGGTGTTAAGTGGTTACTGGAGCCCATAGACATCTACAACGTAAATGCGCCACCCACCTTGAGATATAAGTTCTAAGGTCTCAGTATAGTTAAAAGGGCTGCCCTGCCCTTCGAAACCGAAATGCATTACTGCTTCACAGCAGAAATACACAGAGTGGTGGTATGTACCCGTACAGACTCACAAGAGGTCCTACCACCAGTACAGTACAAATAACTACCACCAATATTTTATAGAAAATTCTCAAAATGATGCATTTTAACCAGATTAATTGCTAGTCAGCTAAACTGAATAGTTAATTAAATTAATATAAACAATGACATTACACTTGTACATTACTTAGGTACAATTGAGATTTCAAGTTTGAAGGTGAGTTAGCATTTCAAAATAAATAATTCAAAAAATTGCTTTTGTAACATTACTCTTCTTTCAATAGCCCCTTCCTATTTATATAACAATTTTTGAAAGTACAAATAATCTGAATTCTACCGTTTTATTATATATGTATTGATAAACCCTAGCCTTAGTAGGGATGACTTTGGCTCTTCTGGCTGGCAACAGCAAGTCAAAACATTTCCAGTTGGCAATTGGAGCTTATTATATGTAATTATTATGAATTTTAGATGCAACATTTGAATTTATCGCTGGGGTCAGAGGTGAAGCTGAACCCGGAAAAGGTTTAATATGTGTCACAGTTCTTATTGGAGCATATCTTATATCTACAGGAGAACCTATTATAGGAGTAATTAACCAACCTTTTGCTAATGAGTAAGTTTACATTTAATTACTTACAGAAGCTTTCCTGAATTATGTATGTACTAAAAATAATAAAAATTATTCATTTTCTCAGAGGCCAAGGCAACATTATCTGGGGTATTAGTTACAATGATTACAAAAGATGGGGAGGAACTTACGATATGAATTTTCACTCTCCTCCTAATACATTGCTAATAAGTGCATCAGAAAATATTGAAATTGTTGAGAAATTTAATAAGGCTGATTGGGAAGTTAAAATACTGCCAGGAGCGGGTAATAAACTCCTAAAAGTTGCCTTAGGTATGTATGGTCCACATAACAGATAAATAATTTATGATGTATTTGGTGATAGCTTCCACTGCCCTAGGTATGTTTTATAATAATAGCTGTGCAAAAACTCTGGATCTTAACAATTAAGCTGCCAAAGCTTCTACAAGTTTAACATATTTCATATACAGTAATCTCACTCTATAACATGATAGATTGGTTCCGCTTTATAGGAAATCCATTGTATGAGTATTTTCACATAAAGTGTAAGTAATTTTATAACAACACAATTGACACAATGTGCAAAGATACAAGAAATTAATTATGAATTGTACAAATCATTATAAATTTCACAGTACAGAAATAGCATAACTGTGAAATCCCCATGTTATAAGGGGAATTACTGTATTTCTTAAAACAGAATGTGTTAATATTTATAAATGAATTACAGGAGAAGTATCAGCATACATTGTATCAACGCCAACAATATTTCGTTGGGACACGTGTGCTGGTCATGCTATCCTCAAAGCCAAGGGTGGTGAAATTCTAACTTACAACAACCGCACTCCTATAACATACAACACACCTCTAACAGCTTCTACTAAAGATAATGGTAATTTGGATGGTATCATTGCATTTTCAAATGATGCCATTTATCAAAAATTAAATGAGATCTTAAATACTTAAATTAAAGTTTTTATAATTAACAAATAAGAATAAACCTATGTAGTGCTAGACAACCAAGTCTCTTTAGAGAATACTTTTGTTTATTATACAGTTAATTAGGATTGATAGGAAGGTTCATTAATACAAACCACATATTCAGTGGCAAGCAACAACGTACCAAGACTGCCAAAAATAATAAATTCCTACATTTTAAGTCTTTTAGTAAATATAGTACACCTACAAAATAAGGATTTTTTTGCCAGATACGTTATTAATGTGTTAAAAATAGTAGTCATTTCTGTAAAGAATAACTGAACACAAGTAGCTAATCATCAGTACATGTTTGTATCTGCCACAGTTATCTGTTCAAGAAAAATTACTGTTAACAAGCCCTTGTATCAATTAAAAGGTAAATAATCCAAGGTTTCAAAATGTATTTGTTTTTGTAATATAACAAAGCTAAAAATATTGGATATGTACCCAATATGTGAATAAAAAATTGATGATACGTTTGTAAATAAAAATTTTAAATAATTTTTAATGTTATCAGCCTTTTTTTGTAATAAAGACAAAATATATATAATCAATTCACATTTTGAATACTAAAAGCCCCCATAGTGTATCGGATTTTTTTATAAATTTATGTACAACAGCTTAAGAATAGAACCTATATTCCAATTTTCTTTAGATATAAGCTGTCAACATAATAGGTATAAAATGGATGAAATACTAACAGATAGAACAAAATTAGAGTTTTAACAATTTAAAACTATTTTAAAATGTTTAAAGGTAAATTTTTATTATGGCATCAAATTTGAAAGATATCTGTTGTGTCAATCGATGTAGTTATTTGTGAGGTTTTTTTTTCACTTATTAAATAATAATTTATTGATCTCTTTGTGGAAATATCCATTTGTGCCACTGCCTCTAGTTTTATCTGAGAAGTCTCATGAATGTCAAAGTGTGGATATGTTATCGATATTCGTATTATTGGTCTGTGTTAAAATAGAGACTTACCTACACACAGTAACAAACAGTAAATGAAGGCTTCCCATGTCATAAAGTATTAATCATAGATTATATGTATGTAGAGCTTTAACCCACCCTGTGATTTTACTATATTTAATTTTATTCTGTAAAGTTTTTCATAATATTATACTTTTTGAGGAAAATCTTGGAAATAATAAACTGTAAGAATGTATTATAAGTGTTTTATATTCCTTGTTTACTCACAAGACATAAAACAAGAAAAATTATATGATTACCTTTTCATTGCATATATTGTTTTAAATTCAACAGAAACCATAGGAATCATAATTTGCGTCTAGTTTGCGATCCAGTTTATTTTATAATAAAAAAGCTAAATCAGAAGAATGCTCTACATTTTCATTCACTAGAAGTAGTGCCTGAACTTTTAATTTTTTTCTTCTTTTTTTTGCTCTTTTTCTCTTTGCTTTTCTTTTTCTTTACTTTCCCTTCTTTTACATTTTCCTGCAAAAGAAAAACAGGCATAAATCCGAAGACAACAGTATTAAAGACAATATGGTCACCAAATGACAATAATATAGTCTGTCACTTTTCTGAGCCCCTCGTAAGGCATGGGAAGTGAGTTAATTCCAAATATCATGGAAATTAATAACAGATGATTAGAATAACTTGTTAGATTAGAGCATGATAAACGAAGAAAAATTACAGAAGTGTGTCTCTCTGTGTGTTTTTCTTTGCATATTAGTGTTGATTTATAGTATTACCTCTTTCACGATTTCAATTTTTGGGGCAACTGGAGCACATCCTTCCATCCTTATTGCAGCTGTGACTTCATCAATTTTGCTCATGTCTGCATTTGGAACCTTATACTGTTCACAATGATCAACACGTAATGTACGCCCAAGAATCTATAGCAAAATAATTAATATTTTTTTACTTTTTTTTATTTATTTTTATTGCCTAGATGTGTGGACGAGCTCACAGCCCACCTGGTGTTAAGTGGTTACTGGAACCCAGACATCTACAACGTAAATGCGCCACACACCTTGAGGTATAAGTTCTAAGGTCTCAGTATAGTTACAACGGTTGGCCCACCTTTCAAACCGAAACGCATTACTGCTTCACGGCAGAAATAGGCGGGGCGGTGGTACCTACCCGTGCGGACTCACAAGAGATCCTACCACCAGTAATTACGCAAATTATAATTTTGCGGGTTTCATTTTTATTACACGATGTTATTCCTTCACCGTGGAAGTCAATTGTAAACAATTGTTAAGTATGTATTTCATTAGAAAAATTGGTACCCGCCTGCGGGATTCGAACACCGTTGCATCGCTATATACGAATGCACCGGACGTCTTATCCTTTAGGTCACGACGACTACGTAACTACAAAAATAAAATGCATATGATGTACCATAATAATAAACTGTTTTTCACTTTCTATTTTAGTAGTATTCTACTCTTTTAATATTTACCTTAATACCATTCAGATTGTCAACTGCTAAAATTGTTGATCTTTGATCCTCATAGCACAAAAATGCAAATCCTTTTGGTTTCCCAGTTGTTTTATCTCTTACCATGTTTATATTTACAATTTCACCATACCTTTCATAAAATAAAAAGTTGATCATTACTTAGTAATAGCTGTTGGTAGAATCATTATTACACTCAGATCTAGGTCAGTGACTGACAAATATCCATTGGCTTCATGCAATATCTGAATATCTTTATATCTAAGAAACATAATTAACTAGCTCCCTATAAAAAAATATATTTTATTTCAGCAAGTAATAATGAATGTGAAAAACCTTACTGAGAAAATACACATATAACATCTCCTTCAGTCAAATCATATGGAAGTCCACCAACAAATATCCATGCACTGTCCTTATATTGATCATGCCAAGAAGTTTTTGAGCTGCTTCCCAATTCACGTTCACTAAGCTTTAAAACATTCTTCACATTTCTGTAAAAAATTAAACACTCAATGGAATACGGCCAATTTTTTTATATATTATTTGCTGATTAACAAATGAAAGTGTTTTTTATTGCCTTTGTAGACCGACAGCATATAACCCATCTGATGGCAAGTGGTTACCATTGCTCATGGACATCAGCATAGCTAGCCCAACTGGTGTTAAGTTGTTGTCTCATTGTGATGAGAACAGTGAGTCGACTATCTCAATCATGGCTTCAGTTTTTAGTAAAACAACTGATGTACCCTTTCAACTAGAGCTAGCTTCGCAGTAAAAATAGCCATGGTCGTGGTACCTACATGTACAGTCTGACAAAACCACACCTCAAGTTTGTGGATATGATTTTCATTACATGATGTTATTCCTTCATTGTGAAAAACATTCATGAATATATGTTAATATGGATTTCCTTAGAAAAATTTGAAAATGCCCGCAAGGTTTGAAAATTCATATAATAATATGTAGTTCAATAGAAGTACACTAGGTGTCTGATCCATTAGATTATAATGAGGACTGAATAAAATGACAACAGCAAAAAGTTTCGTTTGTTTTTCCTCACATCTCTCATCTTCATAATATCACTTGTGTTCAATTTCAAACGGAACCCCACATTTTAAACATGGTGCAGTAAATTAATGAAACTAGTAAAATGTCTTACTCACGTCATTGGATTCATTATGACCGGCTTAACTCACGGCTCACAGTTTACGAGTTAAAATTGTTTAAAGTTTCCATAAATATTAGAAAAATCGTCAAGGTAGACGTCACAATTGACGTTTCATGTTCCGTTCACGGTAAACCTGTTGAGGGAGTGCATATAGAGTCCCTTCTTTATTTCGCCTGGTCGTGTTTTATGTAATTAACACCACAGTTGGAACAATATAAATTTTATTGTTGTAGCGGCATAAAGTAATTACATTAAATTAGTTATTTAACTCATTATAAATTATTTTTATGTTTTTCATATTTGGCGGTAAAAAGGTAATGTGTCACAGACTATATCCTTTTTCCCACATCTCGTGCGTTCCGGCTTACGCATAATAAAACGCCACACTGTATTTTATTAACTTTTATGTATGTTTTTACCGAAACATATTTTATTATTTTAATATATTCACATAGTAAATTTGTTTTAATTAATGTGCACAGTAATTGTTGCTGAAATAGCAAATAAATTGACTTTTTTGCACAAAATGTAACAAAATTTAGTTTACACTGGAACGGAACGTGAAATGACGCATTTTTTTATAGCGTCTTTTTATCGGTCTGTAATAAAATATCTTTTTAAATAAGATTAAATATAAATTAGTAAAATTGCTCGTGTTTTGATAATAAAATTGCATAAATATTCGAAAAATATGGAAAAGCGAATCAGAGCACCCCACTTTCCACCTGGTCTTGTCTGCCCTACCCCTAGAGTGTATATAAAAACCGGAGGCGCGGAGGGAGAGCAGTCCTCGCCCGCTGTGACGGAGCACGGAAACAGTGCGAGGTGGAGCGGCTAAGGCTGGTCGCCGTAGGCAACCAACAAGCCGAAGCTGCGAAGCGGAGCACGAGTGACCGTGCTTCGGCACGCAAGGGCGAGGACTGCTCTCCCTCCGCGCCCCATCGCTTGGGTCAGATATACTTAATCTCTGGCCATAAATACTGCTACAACTATAAATAAAAAAAATTCTATTGCAAATAACATTTATTACTTTTACAGTGTGTTAGTTTAATACATAAATATAAAACAATTTAAAGTATAAAAAGCTTATTCGAAGTGGTCTCCATTGGCTGCAATACAGTACTTGAAACGTTGAGGCCAGTTATCAACAGAAGCACGCACTCTTTCCATGCGAAAATTTTTCACTGCCAATCGTACGGATTGTTTTAGGGACTCCAAATTATCATGGCGCTTATAGCAAGCCGTACTCTCTAAAACTGACCATAAATCATAATCCAGCGGATTAAGATCGGGACTAGACGACGGCCAGTCTTCAGCTCTGATGAAGTCCGAAACGTTCGTTTCCACCCAAGACTGCGTAGACCGAGCTTTATGACCTGGCACCGAGTCTTGCTGGAAGGACCATTCTTGATTATTGAACATGGTGTTGTTATGGAGCTTCACTACCTTCCCAAGAATGGTATCTTGATACACTTGTGCCGATGTTTTGATACCTTTTTCACAAAAGTATGGCTCAGTCACTCCTTCATAGCTAATACCCCACCAAACCATCACTGAAGTCGGATAGCGCCCACGTTTCACTCTGTCGACTAATTGGGAAGCTTCCTTAGAGCTTTGAGCATAAATACAGTCATTTTGTTTGTTAAAATGTTGCTCAATTGTAAAAAAATTCTCATCCGTAAACAAAATTTTTCTATGACCTCCCTTTGCGTACCGCTTCAGTAGTTGTTTCGATTTTACCGCCCTATTCTCTTTTAAATTATCAGTTAAGAAATGACCAGTACGTCTCTTATAGGCTGCAAGTCCTAAGTCATCTTTTAAAATACGCGACATGGTTCTAGGTGCTGTCTTCATCTCCCGAGATAAAATCTTTTGCTTTCGGACAGGATTTCTTCGAATTCATTCCCTTACTGCTTTGATCACCTTTTTCGTACGAACACTACGTGGCCAGATCTTTTTCTGTCACAAACAGAGGAGGTCTCATTGCACCTATTAATAGCCCGGTACACAAACATTTTACTAATACCACGGTGCGCGCGCATCGTAAAATTTCACTCTCATCAATTTTTCATAACGCGCCTAAAGAAGTATAACTTTAAAAATATGAATATAAATTAAAATGACATGACTTAAAGGTCTCAGTTACCAGGTCATAAAATCCCTTAAAAAAACTTTATGTCAATGTCATTCTCCATAAAATAAAAGATGTTCATTGTTTTACTTTCTCGTTTGTTTTAAAATCCACAACAAAACTACTACCACTACTGACTATTTATTTATGTAAAATTTCTACAAATAAACGTTTTAAGTTTTACAAAAAAAAGTTTAGTAAATCAATATCATGGCCACTCCCACTCCTGATTCGCAAGATAACTTTGACCAGGTAAAACTATTGATTTTCCGTTGCTTGTTTGTTTTTTTGTTCTTTTGTGTACATAAAAGTATTGCTTTGTAGTTTGATGAAGAAGAAGAGCAACAGTTAGGTGGAACTACATCCGGTCGTAAAAGACTTTTTAGTAAGGAATTGCGATGTATGATGTATGGATTTGGTGATGATCAAAACCCGTATACTGAAAGTGTCGATTTTTTAGAAGACTTGGTTATTGAATTTATAACAGAAACAACACATAGGTAAGATAAAAAAAAAAAACTTTTTTGTGTCTTGAAAAAACTTCAATATTTTTATTCGTCTTTATATTCATGTTTGTGTTTCACTCCGTATACCACATCACACCAGGTGGACTCATGAACTCATGCAATCCTAGATTTAAATAGTACAATACTAAAAATATATATAACAGGGCAATGGAAGTTGGTAGAACAGGAAGAGTCCAAGTAGAAGACATAATTTTCTTAGTACGTAAAGATGCACGAAAGTATGCACGTGTTAAAGACCTTCTTACAATGAATGAGGAACTTAAGAAAGCTAGAAAAGCTTTTGATGAAGTAAAATATGTTGGTGAGTTGTACATTTGATTTTAAAATTTTAGTGAATTTATTCCCATTAAAAAATCCAATTCTATATTACTATCATTGTAGTGTTTCAGTTTGAGATGTTTCATCTAAAGTGTGATTATTAATGTTTGTATTGAAATGTTTTGCATTTATAGAGGACCAACAGTAACCATACTGTGGCCATACAACCGACGCCATGCTTCTAGACTGATTGATGCAAGTAACATATATTTAATTATAACACTGCTTTTGTGTTTGCACATTCACAACAACACTAATGTCATGATTGGTTGTAAATTTAATAAGATCCTGAATGTAGATGTATCTGTAATTTGTTTTGATTACTTTAAATGTATGGTAAATTATACTGTATAATATTTAGTTATTATATAATATAATATTTATTTACTATCTAATATATAATATTTAGTACCTACTTTTTTAAATTTTATTGTGATCACCAGTGTATTATAAACATTATGGTTATCATTATAGTAATAGGGTTAGAAGACCTTGTGCAAATTATATTATAGAATGTTCAGTTATAGTCGGATTTTTAATTAGACGAAGCCAGCTGACAGTAGCTAATGTCACTTTGTGAAATAATGTTGCTATATTTAAAGTAATAGTGATGCATTCAGTTCTCGTTCAATCACATGAATGAACAATGAGTGTGAAGAGTTAATCATTAATTTCAAACTATAAAAGAATATTATTTATATTTTACAATAAAATTGTATTAAAGTGCTCCAATATATGTTACTAGTAGTATGTAACTACAATCAGTTTTTTTATTTTCATTACATACCTATAATTGTTATATTTTATACATCTATAATTTCAACTATATGATGTATTGGAAATAGGACAGTCTTACAAGCTTCCTCGCAATGTTTTTCTTAATGTTTAAAACACTACGTATTCAGTACAGGTAGATACTATAGGAACATAATATTTCGTCGAAAACTCGTTGGTATGTACAAAGCATGCCTAAAATACGAACCCCGTACCCGATATCGGCAATTCGGCACACCAACTATTCACTAGACAATCGAGGCAATTTCATTAATTCAGGAGTTTTTTCAATCGTTCACTTTGTCACAACACTATTTTTATTTCATCAAAACCTGACAACACAGTAAACGTCAGTTTACTTCGTCTAATAAAAAATCCGACTATAAGTAGTATTTGCCCAAATTATAGCATGTGAATCTGATTGGGAAAACTAAATTCTCACTATTTTTTTAATGAATATGCATTTTTATTAAAAAAAAATCTCATAAATGAATCATGAAAGTATTTTCTATTACTAGCCACAATTTTTTTCATCTTTGTGGCAAAGTTCAAATACCTCCTTGGTAAATAGAAGTGTCATTTTTGAGATTATCTTTGAATGAAACTAAGCTATTCTTTGATATCTGTATATGAATGGAACAACCAGCCAAGTAGATACCATCAAACAGAACAAAGAATAATCGAACAGCACAATATTTGGGACTGTGGAGCTTAATATTATCATGCAGGAGCATCACTTTGTTGTGTCTCTGCTCATTTTGTGGGCATTTTTCATGCAATGTAAGCATTGCATTAAGCTTCACTGCATTAATTATATTCTATATCATTCTTCAGTGGAGGTTTTGTTCAGCTCCACAGCTCTTAATAGATAATGCCAACCTGATTGCACCAAATACACAGTATAACCTTCGTAAGCTGAATATTTGGCAGTGGCAATGATGTAGAAACATTAACGGGCAGTCTTTCATTAGTCCTTTTCCTCCCCGTGTGTTTCATCATTGCAAAAACCTTTCTTTTGTACTGTTGGAGTAGTCGTTCACAGATGAAAAGACAATGTTCAACATCATTTGGCTTCAACTCTAAAAGGAATCAAGTGTTACCCACTAGTGGATATGCCCAATGCATGCAATTGCTTGGAAAAGGCTTGGCTTGCAACCCTTAATATCGAAACAAGCTGATCTTATGTTTGATATGAATCCTCATCAAACAATAGGTTTTCATCTTTCCCATCTGTGGAGCGACGGAACCAATCAATGCCACGTTGCTTCATTCACATCAGCATTGCTGTAAACTTTTTCTCGATGCACTTGAGCTGCTGTTTTCTTTGAATGAAAGAAGAAAAGCAATTCTTCCCGCAAATGATGCATCATTGGCACAAAATCAGACCATCACTTATTGCTGCAATTTGGTAGGTAAGCTCCTGGGGATCAACCTACTTCTGGCTGATCTCCAAATCTTGCCCCTCCTGCCTAAGTCCAACCTGGCCTGCCTTATCTTGGTGAAGCTGGAAGACATCCATGCAATGACGCTATCAAAAAAATAATTGCAAATAATCTGTTTAACAATAATAATTAATTTCATGTATGTTTTCACATTTAGAAATTCATATTGCATAAGCATTTTTATTGTTTATTGTTAATTTATGTGTTACTTTTGCACTTTGGTATTAGAAAGTTGTGTTTTGGCAAGAGATAGCAGCTTGAACAGTTAGCATGTTAGGATATGAGAATTTGTGTACTAATGAAATGAATGTCTATTATTTACATCTTGTACTACTTTATAGGTACTCTAACCCTAGATATATCACATAAAACTGTTTGGCTTGATAAAGAAATTAAAGCACTACTATCTGTAGAATGTTTTTTAAGAGAAAACAACAGGATTAGCAATTGTAGCATAATAGTATTTGTGTTGCTAATGGGAAATATATGTGTTGTGTTCAAAATTGTATGTTAAATAATTGCAAATTTCTTTCCACCAACAAGGTTTGTTGGTGGGGGAGTAATTTATTGTTAATAAATTGAGTAATAGGCTAATTATGCATTTAAAATTTCAGAATGAATACCAAAAACATAAATGGACCTGATAAAAGTAATACCGATTTGGGACTTTGGAGAGCAGTGAAATGAAAAATGAATTAACTATTTGATATTATGAATTTATTAAGCTAGTAAGGTAATAAGTAATAAAATTTACTGACAAATATCCTTGTTTGTTTTTCTTCAGAGTAGTATTAGAATATTTAGTAATGTTTGTTAAATATAATAATAAAATAAAAAAGAACATGTTTTTGCTCTTTGGATGACTTATCTAAAAAAAATTATTTATTTTTTAGACATTTTTTTTTTGTTTTTATTTTTTATGATACAGCATACAAAAATACATACAACCCTAAATTTTCACCCCTCTACGATCAACCCTTATTTTTTATTTGTTAATACTGTTCGGGAAAACTTACTTTTGGACCAGATGACGTTTAAGACCTTGATTTAGGCCCTGATTAAAAAAAGGAACTAATATATATTATCATATACAGGGACTGTTCTAAGTTCTATAACAAACAAATTCAAATTGAAAGAAAATCATACTTGATTAATATGTAAACTTTATTTGTGCGCAAATACAGTAAACACTAAATAAACAATACTAGAAATTAAAGTTAGTGGCAAAGAAAATTAAAAAAATTTAATTTTCTATATTAAATTTATGCAATATATTATTATTCTAATGATTAAATAAAATAACAATTTTACATACATCCTTTTAGGTTAATATTTGTCTATAATATGTTGGTAGGTACAATAATAACTTGATATTATATGAAGTTTTTTTTTGTCAACAATCTATAAACATATTAATTTTAAAAATACAATGTTCCACCAAGTAGGTTGTAATAAATATTTTAACAATGTTTCACAATAGAGGCGACTAGACTTGATGTTCAATAAAACATCAAAAGTCCATACTTTGGTTTTTTTCACAACAGATTTTAAACATTTCATATTATAAATAGGCCGTCTATGGCAGTTAGTACAATATAAATAGGTTAGTTCTTAATTTATTCACCTAAGATACTCTCTAAGCTCGGGCTGATAAATTATTGTTTAAATATCATTAAATGGAATGACATTGCAATCTTAATTTGTAAAAGTTACATAATATCAATTTCATCATAAACTTTCTTTGCCGATGTAAAGAAATTAGAACAGGAAGACATTACTTTTGAGCGTAAAATTAGTTGAATGGATTGGAACAGCAATCTCTTGGTAAAATCACCAGTATTTTTCTCTGTTTCTTTTACAAAAAAATCTCAACAAGTCTGCCTATAATCTGCATGTAAATATTATAGTAAACATGTACATCTAGTAAATATATTTTATCTATGACATCAGGATATATTTAGCCTATTATTATCACTTGATGTGATTCATCTTATGGCAGACATCCAAGGCAACTATAGTTTCTCCATACTTGTACTTCCATATATGTTTTAAATTCATTATTTTTATCAACTTATCATATCAATGTCAAGTTTTTCAGTGCTATAGTGTGCTGTGCTATAAAGCATTCACGTAAATATATTGACCACACAATACAATTGTAATTAAAAACCTAATTATTAAACACAACTGAAACTCCCTTGGCAGTGATTATCTATCATCTGTCGAAACTGCCCGTGCGCCACCTGTTGTTATAGTACCCTGATGGTACTATAACAAATCTCTGAACTACCTATCATATATATTGTAACTATACTGAGACCTTAGAACTTATATTTCAAGGTGGGTGGCGCATTTACGTTGTAGATGTCTATGGGTTCCAGTAACCACTTAACATCAGGTGGGCTGTGAGCTCGTCAACTCTATGCAATAAAAAAAAATATATATTCAATTTCACTTAAAATCACATCAACGATTTAGAAATGCCTAAGAGAACAAATTTACAAAGAAACGTTTGTTGGTATAGAGGTGGCTTTAGTAAATCTGTATGAAGCACATTTTTTTGTTATCTGTATTCTAAAATATTTAACATGAGACTGAAAATTGTAAATAAATAATCGTTGAAGGTATGTAGTTAATAACGAGTTAATTTTAAATAAGTTTAAGATTTCGTTCATCTATATCTTGAGAATAACTCTGAACACGTTATTTAGAATATAGCGTAAGATATTGTGTGGTAATTTATTTTGTGATTTCTAGTTGTTTGATGAGAAAATTATTCAGAAGGAGGTGGGTCTATTGCGCAGATTATGGCTTTCATGACTGCAGCAGCGCATAGTGCAGCGTGGGGCTGCCAGTCCTTCCCACGGGTGCCGTCGCGATAGTCCGATATACCTGAAATACATAAATATCAATTAATTTAAATTGCAATTATAATAATTCGTTTCAGTCAATTATGACCAAGGCCTTCTAGAATGGAACGCCACATGACGTCATTGACGTATTGTCTATACTAATATTTTAAAGCTGAAGATTGTTTGATTGAACGCGCTAATCTCAGGAACTACTGGTCCGATTTGAAAAATTCTTTCAGTGTTAGATAGCTCATTTATTCAGCAAGGCTATAGGCGGTTAGACAATACAAGTGGAGTACCAATAAAGAATGTTTCAAAATAGGGGTTTAAATAGCTCCTTAATATTCTAGAATTCAAAAATATTTTCACTTTCTACGTAAACGAAGTGGGAGGTAAAATTTAGCGTTATGCCAAAGTAACTATTCCACGCGAACGAAGTCGCGGGCAAAAGCTAGTATTTAATAAAGTTTAGTGTATTAATCATAAATAAACAACGTCTTTTAAATTTATTACGTACCAATTTATCTCTTAACTGTATCAGATATACAAACTTATTTTCAAGAAACAAATAGATGTAACGGAAGATATCAATGTGCTTAGTACGAGTTTTTTAATGTTCTCGATAGCGTAAAAGTTAACTCAAATTTATATGGAGTTGGAACGTTTACCTACGTTTGCCACTAGGGGCGCTGTCGCTATCGAGAACGTTAAAAACTTGCACTGAGCGCACTGATTGGTGCTGAATAACGAGAATGACAACTGACCTCGCAGCGATATGAAGCAGTCCTTGCAGTTGCCGACGACGCTGTCGAGCACGGCGTCGAGCTCGCAGTCGTAGGCGAGCGCGCGCGTGTGGGCGGCGAAGGCGGCCCGCCCCTCGCCCGCCGCCGATACCACGCGCCCGCCCGCCACGGGCGCGCACGTCACGCGCAACCCGTCCCGCGTGTCACTGAACAAAACAAATGAACAAACCAATTCTGTCAAACATTCAGGTAAACTACAAAAATCGGCCCTAAACACGTCATTACGGATCCTCCGGATCCATCGAAGTACTGCAACACTCCCGGTTTGAGAAACTGAAATAACTTTGTTCGGGTAGCTACGATATTCTTTATTTTAAAGCAGATTTATAAAGAATGAGAATATTACTAATAATCTGAATTTTAAATGATAAAAATACCTTTAAATTTGTGTACAAAGTAAAAATAAAATTTTTGAACTGAATTGGCTAGAAATTTAGCTGCATTTGTTATAACATGAAAATACTAAAGCGGGTCCAACTAACTAAACAAGATGGCGCCATAGTTAATCTATTTTACTACATTTTAAGGCGTTTAGCTGCCTTTGATTTTATAGGCCTCAAATAAACCGTTCATCCAGTATTTAAAGTAGAAAATTTTTTTATGGTAGTGTTAGTGACGTCAGCGGGGTATTTCGGGACACCTGCGGCACCGTCTGGGCGGCCTGACGGGCTGCCGTACCATCGACGGCCGTCGTTTCAGAGCCTTCGATTCGCTTCGAAGGCTCCGTCGACCGGGGGTCCTTGGGATGAGCCGCGCCGTCTGGTTGTAGTGTTGACAGCGGTAACCCCCTTACCACATCCGGGTTCCGACCTCGGAGGGGATCGGACGCTTGGGCGAAGACTGCAGGGGAGTCGTTAAGTGGGTAGGGCCCTGAAAACATCCTTGGGCCCGTGTTAGTGACGTTTGATAATACGGGATTGGGACGCGATCTCCGATCTGAGTTATATTTGTGAAAGATATTTGACATTCGAAATCTGGGTTTATTTCTTCGAGTCCGGTATGTATCTCAGACATACACAATCAAGTATTGTTTTTATTTTAAGCGGTAGAATAGTATTTTCAGTTTTTTTTTTTATAAAATCTGTGCTCTTTAAAGACACTTCCTTTGCTCGAAATCATCGATTGATATTCATTCAGTATTTTTGAGGTATGATTTTCGGAATTGACAGAAATTTTATTTTAGTTTGTGAATTTTGATGTTCATTGAAATTAAATATAAAAACTTTATTTTTTCGCTTGTGCAAAAACAATGTTGTCAACAGCGGCACACCATTCAAATATCGATGTTTAATCTAGAATGATTGATTACATAGAGAGAGGGACAGAGAGATAATCAAGAGAGAGAGAGAGAAAGAAAGAGAGAGTATTCTACTGTACACTAACAAAATAAACAATGCGAAACATTAAATACAAAAATAAGGACAATTGGCTATACAGATATATAATATTCGCTAAGTTTTATTTTTATTAAATAAACAAACTTACATAAATGTTAAAAAGAATCAAATACTCTTTTTTTTTCTACCTAAGCTGATAGCCTTGAGAGGCTATATCAGGGTCGCCTTTACTTTTTTTTTTTTTTATTGCTTGGATGGGTGGACGAGCTCACAGCCCACCTGGTGTTAAGTGGTTACTGGAACCCATAGACATCTACAACGTAAATGCGCCACTCACCTTGAGAAATAAGTTGTAAGGTCTCAGTATAGTTACAGCGGCTGCCCCACCCTTCAAACCGAAACGCATTACTGTTTCACGGCAGAAATAGGCAGGGCGGTGGTACCTACCCGCGCGAACTCACAACAGGTCCTACCACCAGTAATTACGCAAATTATAATTTTGCGGGTTTCACTTTTATTACACGATGTTATTCCTTCACCGTGGAAGTCAATCGTAAACATTTGTTGAATACGTATTTCATTAGAAAAATTTGCGGGTGCCTGCGGGATTCGAACACCGGTGCATCGCTTCAACACGAATGCACCGGACGTCTTATCTTTTAGGCCACGACGACTTCATTAACTAGTAGGTGAGCTCACGGGGCTCAAACTTGACGACGTTGCTAACACGAACCCTAGCAAGAGTCGTGCTTCGCAGAATCTACCACCGGATCGGAAACGCGACCCACTGAGAAGATCCGGCGAGAAACTCTGAGGGAGAAACTGTCTGAGGATTAATTTACTCGTCGAGCCCTTCGTCGCAAGCGATGGGTTCGACGAGAACGATGACCGATGCTTGAGGTACCTAAAAGCACCATTAGTGGATCGGGTGGAACCGAAATGACATGTTTGGGGCGACGTCGACTGCTTTCCATTCTGTCCGCAGGATCGGGAATGCAAATACTCTATTACCACAATATAGTATGAGTAAATAGTACATACGTTTGATCTCCTTGTGGCGCTGGATGTGATACTTCAATGTAAGCTCCATTGCCGACTTCGACGCACAACCTGTCGGTGTTGCTCTCCGGGGGCTCCCATCGTCCCGGGACTCCTCTGAGACGATCGAGTCCTGGAAATATTAATTAAAATGAGTACTGGCTTTACTCTCACACACACAATCCACTGAGTTTCTCGGCGGATCTTCGCAGTGGCTCGCGATTACGATCCCATTTTAGATTGAGCAAAGCACTGTTCTTGCTACGGCAGATATTAGCAATCTCTCAGGCTGTGAACCCTTGAGCTCTCTACCTGTTTGAAACCTGAATAGTCACTAGTGGCTAATGGTTATTAGATATGTAAAAAGGCTTTGTTTATCAGATTTTTTTATATTGCCCCTATATGCAGACGAGCATACGGCCCACCTGATGGTAAGTGGTTACCGACGCCCACGGACTTCAGCAATGCCAGGGGCAGAGCCAAGCCGCTACCTGCTGTTATCTTGTGTTGAATTCTAGAAGACATGGCAAGTTGACTCTAAGTACCCTGTGGGCTGGCAATTGAAGCTATACCTAATCTCATGAATTATCCGTTTTACTCTTCAGATGAATCAAAATATTCTTATTCCCATATTCGTGAGTATCCGTTCTATTCATCATCAATCTATTTTCGTTGACTGTTGTGTTTTATAATACGATATTCAGTAGTTCTAAATTTACCTAAGTGTGTCTTGAACTTGCGACCTCTTTAACGAGCGCAATTAATTTATTAACTTACTTGGTCACGGACCCGTCACCCGTCAACGAGCACTTGGCGCTAACTAGCGGACCAGCGATAAATACTCTTATGTACAAAGGCAGAGGATTATAAATTTTTCTTTTTTCTTTTTGCTATTGTAATTATAATGCGTACTGGCCACAAACATTAGTATTTTATTTTTATCAATTAATTTGTCAAATTTTAAATTACAGTGTGATATAAGATTTTGCTTTGATTAAAACAGTTTATTATTATAATGAGGATAATCGTGATTTACAAAAAAGAAGTTATGATTTTAATATTTTTTAATCATTAGTTGAGAATGTCATCGCTTTTCAAAGTGCTGATAATCATTATTTTCTACGTAGTAAGAAAATCTCTGAAATTTTTTTGAATTGTTGTACACCGCATTGATAAACAAGACTATACTATACTATTTAAAATATTCTATGTATGTATGTATACTAAGTCGTAACAGTTTTCAAGTCATTACTACCTTCATGCTTTGAGTTAAAATTAGAAGTGCTTTAAGGTTGCCCATAAAATCATAACAAAACTGACATTTGAGTCGTCCAGAGTAAATAAAGATATAGACTAACAGTATTTGTGTTTGAATAAAGCCAATGATGCTGTCATTTCAATCAGAACGAAGGTATTTGATTTCAATATTAAAATTATATATTTTTATTTTTCATTAATAATTCTAATAATTAATTACATTAAAAAATATCGATGCTAATTGTGAATTTCCATCGCAAATAAAAAGAATGTCAGATCTAAACGCCATTCAACGTACTATGACTATTAGTAAAATTGAAACTAAATACACCAACAATCATATGGCCCAAACATTTGCTTAATATTTGTCGTTTGGTAGTTTTTTTTTATTGGCAATTTTAAATTGATCAATAGCTAAAGCAAAATACAAATTAATAAATGAAATTATAAACATACCTACTCCTACTTCCACAAAGCGGGAACAAGGATTTTTAAATTCCTTTTTATGATGCTGTTCTTATTTGACATACAATTAAGGTTTTAAATCGTTTAATCGACTTACTCATCTGTCAGTGTATTATAATCGTTTTGTATATTCAAATGAATTCGTACTTTAAAATTACATTGTTATGGTATAATATTCCCTAAATTACTGTATTTTGACGTCACGAATTACTGTATTTTCACATCGTATAATGTGCGTCTAAACGCAACTAGTAATGTTGATATCATTAGTCAGCGTATTTTTTTGTTATCCTTACATACATATATGGTAACTTTGGTTTGAATATTACCTTCTTTGACGTACAAATCCCATGAGGCCTTTGACTTGGTGAGACGCACAGCGATATCTTGCAATAAGAAATTAACTGGTTTGTATGGCTTCACTTCGAAATCCCAACCCCCTTTGGCGTTCTTCTCGGCTTTTTCACAGAAAACGTATACGTATCTGTAAAACATACATGTCATTATAATCTTGTGATTTTTTTAATTTCAAGACATCCGCAATCGTATGTCCTTTAGGCATAATTACGACTAGTCATGTAGTGGTAATTACGCCGTGAGACGATATCCGAGCTAAAACACAAATAAATAACAATGACCAAATTGCGAAATTATTGCCTTTTTTTTATTGCTTAGATGGGTGAACGAGCTCACAGCCCACCTGGTGTTAAGTGGTTACTGTGGAGCCCATAGACATCCATAACGTAAATGCGCCACCCACCTTGAGATATAAGTTCTAAGGTATCAAGTATAGTTGCCTATTTAGATCGCCAAGAAAATGTTAAAATAGGCTTTGAGCTGTAAAGTAGCGGTGTAAATTAGGTAGACCACGAGCTGGTCGGTTCATTTATGACCTAGAGCAAGAAATCAATTAATATTACAGTTTTTTTAAGCATTGGCATATAAAACATGTGCGAATCACTCCTTTTTAATGTTAGTTTTCTTACCTTATGCATTTCAATGACAATTCACAAATATTGAGAGCATATTGATTCATTGAAACGTATTGAAACGTCATTATATGTATGTTATTATTAGTCACGATTATACAGGGTGTATTGGAAACGTTTCCAGAATTGAATGAAGATCGGCAGAAATACTTCTACTTTAAAGTTACATATTTACAGGTCAGCTCTATAAAAATATACTTAATAAATACGTATAGCCTAAATTCAAACAAAAAAAAAAACGTTTTAATACTAAGTCGAATTAAATATTAAATTAATCATTGTTTTATCTGGTTATCCTGGTCGTAACAATAGGACAAGTTACTTATAAATTATCTATACTTCTATACTAATATTATAAAGAGGAAAGATTTGTTTGTTTGTTTGTTTCGAATAGGCTCTGAAACTACTGGACCGATTTGAAAAATTCTTTTTCCATTAGAAGCCGACATTGTCCCTGATGAACATAGGCTACTTTTTTTAATATTTTTTATTTTATTTTTTTGGTTTCATGTGTGTTTTAATGTTTCCGAAGCGAAGCGAGGGCGGGTCGCTAGTATACAATATATGGGTGGATGGGTTTATTTATTTTAATCGATTTAAAGTTAATAATGTTGAAGTTAAAAATGACGTTAAATGATTCTGTGACATAGATACAGGGTGGCCCATAAGTCCTTTGATATGAAAAAAATTTTATTAAAATAAAACTAATTACATTATGAATTAAATTTTTATTTACATAAAAAGCTTAAAAAACGGGAATTATTTTTTGAAAATAACATCTCCTAAATGTAATCCGTTGCGATCACGGCACTCTTGCAAACGACGTCTAAAATTGTCGATGACTGCGCGNCTCAGCGGGTCGCGATTCCGATCCGGTAGTAGATTCATTCGCGAAACAATTGCTCTTGAGTTGTTAGGTCTCCTTCGGAGGCGCTCGGGCAGTTGTTAGCAAATCCCACCCCTCTTGGCTGAGCCTTTGCTCGCCCACCTGTCCTGGTGAAACTGGAAAGGCCTTCGGGCCACCAGTAAACTTTCAATCACAAAAAAAAAAAAAAAAACATATATTACTTTGATGTTCAGAACATACCCATCACAACAACTTAAGAAAAACTAGACGACTACGAATTATTGGGTTAAGTCGGAGCTTAGGTAGGAATTAAGAACGAAATTAGGTAAGAAGAAGATAGAAGAATGGAGATGGACTATCAGAAGTAATAGCAGTAGTCCGGGGAACCCAAGATCACGTATTAATACTGTCACGCCCTGGGGTTCGGGATAAATATAAATTCTACCGAAGTACAAATTAAAAGTGTATTAACACTTAAAACACTTAGCGATCACTTTAAAATTCTCAATTCACTTCTTCCGCTTCGCTTCAGGCGATCCGTTCGCCGTTCGTTCGTTTTTCTGTTTCGCTTCGAGTAATTCCAATTACTGACTGTTTTCGTGCCATCTCTGCAACGCTTTTATAGTGGATACGACATCCCTAGATTTATCGAGAACATTCTGGGCAAGTCGAGTAGCTTCGATGTGTGTTTCCGCCACCTGACAATAGATAGCGTTGTACTTTTCGATTTTACTAGTACGATATTCGTTTCTGCTATTCGGCGGTAGATGGCGTTACTCTTACCGGCGTAACAATACTACTGTTACGGTTTAATCTCGCGTTTTCAGTTTTTTTTTTAAATATAAAGATTAAAGATAGTACTCTATATTTAATATGGAGTTTTCGTGGCGATTAACTGAGTCATTCGTGACCATAAAAACTGTAAGGTATTCGCAACGTCGACAGTTAAAAAATGCGAGATAAAAGCGAAAACATACATTTAATTATGTCCACGATTCACGAAAACAACAAAACAAAAACAAAAACTGTATCTATTGATATGATGAATATAATTATGATTTAGTGATCTGTTTGGCGGTAGATTACGAATAATTACGATGTAATGGTGAGTTCCCAAGACCATCAAGTTCTTATAATATGGTGTTTAACAAGAACTATATCATTCTCAATGTTGTTACTAATTATCTATTCGTCGAAATGAGGATTGAAATTAAGTTATAATAAAAAAAAAACATTACTTCAACGCACGTAGATTTCATGTCATTTGTTTACGTAATATTATATGAAAATTTATGAAAACTTAAAAAAATGTAATAGAAATTTAGTTAGATTTTATTAAGCACGACCTTTGTGAAATTGGGAGTTATATATGCTACTACCTACTCTACTGATTGGAGATATTTCATAGAATGCCCCAAAACTTGAACGAAATTGGTTCTCTATCCGTATTTGGGGGTATTGCTTTATTATTTATTTACGAATGCCTAACAGATACACGGGAACTGTCTTAGATATTTTAACATAACGTAATATAATGGATCTTACATTCACATTTTATTCGCGCAGAATGGCTTTAGGGAAAATAATTACAGTTACATTGATCACAGATCAATAATAATGAAAAATGATTTTTGTTTTAATTACAAAATAAAAGGAAGTTTTTTTTAGAATTCTGAAGTCCTATATCAGAATGGTATCAACAATGTAACATGTAACAACAAAATTTAGCAAGCGTACAGACATTATTTCTCTATGCAATATATAGTTACATATACTTAGTCTGCCATAAATACCGTTTCAATTAAAAATAAACAAAATATTACATTTGAATTTGGAATCTGTCATTTTTATATGATTGCTCATTGAGTTTTCTCATTTTGGCGCCAATACATTGTACAATATTTTGCGATATTAAAATGGAGTGGGGTGATAAAGAGAACCGAATCGCTGTGATTGCATTACACAAAGTAGGTATGGAGCCAATACAATTTTTAAAACTCTCCATACGTTGTGTACCGGGCTATTAATAGGTGCAATGAGACCTCCTCTGTTTGTGACAGAAAAAGATCTGGCCGGCCTTGTTCGTACGAAAAAGGTGGTTAAAGCAGTAAGGGAAAGAATTCGAAGAAATCCTGTCCGAAAGCAAAAGATTTTATCTCGGGAGATGAAGATAGCACCTAGAACCATGTCGCGTATTTTAAAAGATGACTTAGGACTTGCAGCCTATGAGAAACGTACTGGTAATTTCTTAACTGATAATTTAAAACAGAACAGGGTGGTAAGATCGAAACAAATACTGAAGCGGTACGCAAAGGGAGGTCATAGAAAATTTTTGTTTGCGGATGAGATTTTTTTTACAATTGAGCAACATTTTAACAAACAAAATGACCGTATTTATGCTCAAAGCTCTAAGGAAGCTTCCCAATTGGTCGACAGAGTGCAACGTGGGCACTATCCGACTTTAGTGATGGTTTGGTGGGGTATTAGCTATGAAGGAGTGACTGAGCCATACTTTTGTGAAAAAGGTATCAAAACATCGGCACAAGTGTATCAAGATACCATTCTTGAGAAGGTAGTGAAGCCCCTTAACAACTCGATGTTCAATAATCAAGAATAGTCCTTCCAGCAAGACTCGGCGCCAGGTCATAAGGCTCGGTCTACGCAGTCTTGGTTGGAAACGAACGTTTCGGACTTCATCAGAGCTGAAGACCGGCCGTCGTCTAGTCCCGATCATAATCCGCTGGATTATGATTTATGGTCAGTTATAGAGAGTTATAGATATAAGCATTATAAATTTTTAACAGCAATAAAGGCTTATTATTATTATTATTATTATAGAGAGTACGGCTTGCTTTAAACGCCATGATAATTTGGAGTCCCTAAAACAATTCGTACGATTGGCAGTGAAAAATTTTCCCATGGAAAGAGTGTGTACTTTTATTGATAACTGACCTCAACGTTTAAAGGACTATATTGCAGCCAATGGAGACCACTTCGAATAAGCTTTTTATACTTTAAATTGTTTTATATTTATGTATTAAACTAATGCACTGTAAAAGTAATAAATGTTTTTTGCCATAGATTTTTTTTTGTTTTCCTTTGTAACAGTATTTATGGCCGGACTAAGTATATAAAAATAAGACAAACATGGTTATTTACGCTTATGTTTATATTACTTGGAAAACTTACTACACTCAAGTGCCCCAAGCGAAAATTTATCCTGTTGTATTTCTTTCGAGTTCCACAAGAAACTTCAAAGACAATTCAAAACCACTTTTACGATTTATTATTTTCGTTTTATCATATTCGCTGTTTCGACTACTAGAGTTTTCGTGGTCAATCAACATGGAAACTATCAAGAGCATATTTCGCGCGCATTTTTTTTGTGATCTGTTAGTAAAATTAGCCTTCCCGAAATGTATCAGATTATCTTATTTACAAAAACCCTGAATACAAAATAAGCTAAGTTATCCGTAAACGTTTGACTGAAAACTAAATTATAGAATTATTATTAATATTGTTACACCGGTAAGAGTAACGCCATCTATAGACGAATAGTCGAATGAATATCGAAGGACCTAGTAGCATCTAGAACGCTCGAGAAGTACAACGCCGTCTATTGTCGGATAGCGGAAACATAATACTAGA